TAATTCTCTTAAGGTCCATCCATATTGTCAAAAATGGCAGGATGCCTTTGTATGTATTTATATCACATCTTCTTCATCCATTTATCCATTAATGGACACTTAGGTTGTTTCCATATCTTGGCTATTGTAAATTATGCTACAGTAAACATAGGGGTGCAGATATCTTTGAATTAGTGTTTTCATGTTCTTTGGATAAATACCCAAAAGTGGGACAGCTGGATCATATGGTAGTTCTGTTTTTAATTTTTTGAGGACTCCCCTTACTGTTTTCCATACTGGCTGCATCAATTTACAGTTCCAACAATGTGTAAGAGTTCCCTTTTCTCCACATCCTCCCCAGCATTTGTTATTCCTTGTCTTATCAATAATAGCCATTATAACAGGAGTGAGGTGGTAGCTCATTGTGGTTTTGATTTGCATTTCTCTGATGATTAATGAGCATCTTTTCATGTGTCTTTTGTCCATTTGTATGTCTTCTCTGGAAAGATGTCTGTTCAGATCTATTTTTTAATTGGATTGTTTGGTTCTTTGATATTGAGTTGTATGAGTAATTTATGTATTTTGGACATTAACCCCTTATCAGATACATGATTTTCTAATATCTTTTCCCACTCAGTAGGTTGTCTTTTCACGTTGATGAAAAGGAATCTTCACTGTGCAGAAAGTTTTTAGTTTTATATAGTCCCACTTGTTTATTCTTGGTTTTGTTTCCCTTGCCTTTGGAGTTAGATCCACAAATGCATTACTAAGACTGATGTCAATGAGGTTATCACCTATTTTTTATAGGAATTTTATAGTTTCCGGTATGACCTCCAAGTCTTTAATCCATTCTGGTTAATTTTAGTGTATGGTATGAGACAGTGATCTAGTTTTATTCTGTTGCATTTGGCTGTCCAGTTTTTCCAATAGCACTTATTAAAGAGTCTGTTCTTTCTCCGTTGTGTGTTCTTTGCTCCTTTGTCATCCATTAATTGCCCATACACGTGTGGGAGGATGGAGTAGTCCCTGTCAATTAGGTCAAGGTGGTCAGTAGTGTTGTTCAAGTGTTCTAGACCCTTATTTTCTGTCTCTTTGTATATCAGTTATTGAGAAAAGGATTTAAAAATTTCTAACTATCCTTGTAGATTTGTTTACTTCTTTTTATTCTATTGGTTTTGCTTCATTTATTTTGAAGTTGTTAGGTACTATTAGGTACCTCTACATTTAGGATTGTTACGCCCTCATGATGAATTGACCCCTTTGTTATCATGGAATCTCCCTTTATCCTGTGTAGCATTATTTGTTCCGCTTTGTTGATATTAATTACAGCCACTCCAGATGTCTTTTGGTTAGTTTTTGCATGGTATTCTTTTTCCATCCTCTTAGTTTTAACTTTTCTATATCTTTATACATAAAAGTATCTTGTAGGCAGAATATAGATGTCTTTCTTTTTAAAATCCAATCTGATAATCCCTGATTTTTAATTAAAGTATGAAAATAGTATTTCTTGTGCAGGTCTGCTGTTGATGGATCCCTTCTGCTCTTATTTGTGTGAATTTTTTTTTCATTTCTAACATTCTCTGTTTTGTCTCCATTTTTGAAAGATAATTTTCCTGAGAACACAATTCTATGATAACAGTTTGTTTCAGCATTTAAAGGTGTTGCTCTGTTGTCTTTTGGTTTGCACATCTTATCATAAGAAGTCTGCTGTCATGTTTGTCTTTATTCCTCTGTATGTGATGTACCTTTATCTCAGGCTGCTTTTAAGATTTTCTTTTTGTCTTTGTTTTTTAGAGATTTGATTATAATCTACTTTGACATGGTTTTCTTTATATTTATTCTGCTTGGTTTCCACGGACTTTTTCTCTTTTTCTGACATGTGGGTTTATAGTCTTCATTAAATTTGGTAAACTTTTAGCTACTATTTCTTCATATATGTCTCCCCCTCCTCTCTGGGACTCTAACTGTACATATTCTTTAATATGGTTGTGTGGGTACTATATATTGTTTTAATTTTTGTTCAACCTTTTCTTTGTGCTTAATTTTAAACATTTTCTATAACTATGTCTTCTGATGGTTTACTGATCTGTTCTTCTATAGCATCTAATCTGCTCTTAGTCTCGTCAGTATATTTTTGTTTCAGATGGTTTGATTTTCTTCTCTAGAAGTTCCATTTCAAGTGCTCACTGTCTTTTAAAAACCTTTCTTTTGGCTCCTTATCATGTTCATGTCTCCCACTCCTTCTTGAGCACATTAAATGTATTTTTCATAGCTGCTTTAAAGTCTTTGTTTTCCAATTTCTGAATTTCTACCATTTCTGATTCTGTTTATTGACCTTTTCCTGGTTATGGGCCATATGGTTCTACTTTTTTGCATACCTGATAATTTTTTTTACTTGATGCCACACCTTGTGAAATTTTACACTGCTGAGTGCTGGGGTGTGCCATATTTCTTTTAATAGTATTCAACTTTGTTCTGCATCAAGTTAGAGCAGTGGATGCCTCTGGGCAGTGGTGAGATTGGAGTGTTGGTTACACAGGTGTGTATTTGTCACAAAATTCACCAAAATATACACTTAGGATTTGTACATTTTACTGTATGTAAATTATACTCAATAAAAATATTTTTAATGTTACACATGCTCATTTAAAAATTTTGAAGTAACCCAAATATATAGAGAGCAAAAACTAAAAGTTCTATTTCACTCCTCCTCAATTATCTCTTAATTATTTCTTCTTCCCCAGAGTCTCACCAGTCATGTAACTAGTTAAATCATTTCCTATCTCTCCTTCAAAATATTTTCCTATGGATTTATAGATACAGCATTAGTGAGGAGAGTACAGCTCAGTGGTAGAGCATGTGCTTAGCATGCATGAGGTCGTGGGTTCAATCCCCAGTACCTCCAATAAATAAATGACCAAATAGAGCATCATTGTTAAGATTGCAGTCTCTAGAAATCAGACTGCCTCAACAAAACCGTGATTTTATTACTTACTAAATTAATTTTGCCCAGCCTTGAACATCATGTAAGTGGACTTACGAATAAGTATCAATATGTATCTGATCTTCCCTCGTTGTCATCTTTTAGGTTCATTGATGTTATTTCTTGTAGTAATAGTTTATTCCTTTTGATTGTATTCAGTTGTATTTACCATTCTGTAATAATACTGCAGTTTCTGTATCCATCCTCCGGTTGGCAGCGATTTGGGCTGGATCCGGCTGGGCTGTCACGAAAAAAGTTTCTGGGAACACTCTTGTCTACGTGTTTGGTGGGCGTATGTTTTTGTTTCTCTCAGGTAAATATTTAGGAGTGAACTTGCTGGTTTAAGTTTAAGTCTATAAAAACCCGTCTTTTTTGGAAGTGGTTGTACCATTTGCCTTTAGCAAAGTGTGAGATTTCCAGTTCCTCTACATCCTTACCAGCACTTGGGTCAGTTTTTGTTTTTGTTTTCTTAAATTTTAGCCATCCTGGTACGGAGTGATGCCTTCAGTGGCTTTAATGTCTATTTCCCTGATGACTGATGATGCTGGTCTTGTCTTGTGCTTATTGGACCCTCACATGTCTTTCTCTGTGAAGTACTTGCTCAAATTCTTTGCTCATTGTTCTGTTGGCTAACAGTGTAAGACAGGTACCCCCATAACTCAGTGGCATAAGCAACAGTTTTTAATTTTGTTTACAAATCTTCACTTTGGGAGGGGTCCATTTTGAACTCCTGATTCTGCTCCACATGCATCGGTTGGGGCAGCGCGGCTGGGGCTGGAATGTTCACTCCAAGATGGTCCAGCTGCATACCTGGCGAAGTCAGTGCTGTCAGCCGGGACCTCAGCTGAGGCTATCCCCCCGAAGCCTGGCTTCCTTTTCCTTTGATATCACTAATGGGAAACCAGAATTTAAAAAAGAAATTATTTCAAACATTTCAATTATATTTTCAGATGGAGTTTACAGTTTCTTTTCTTCTCAAATTGGGTACCCAAGCCCAGGGAGTACTTCATGTGTTGGGGAGGTCGTCCCAGGGTGAACACGGCTCAGCTTCTCGGGACACCCATTTTACCTATGCAATTTTGGGTAAAATCACATTTATCTTCTATTAAAATAAACTTAGATAAATTACGGTCTAGAATACAAATATCATCTGAATATTTAAAGTTAAAAATGACAGTTAAAAAAAGGTCCTCCTGGGAGAGAAACCTTAGGGCAACTATCTCAGGTACCGGGGGATGAAGCCTTCCCTCCTTGGGACCGTGAAGGAAAAGTTTGAGAAGTTCTGCAGACTGACTGGGCGAGGAGTCTGAGGTCCTGCTCTTTATTTAAGATCTGCAGCCGTGATCGATGCCATCAAAGTGCTCTATTTACCCAGACACCTGTTAATTTTGTTTTAGTCACAGAATGAACAGTTTTTACCATGTGTGAGGCGCTACCCTCAAAACTGTCCATCTGTGCCTCAGGACATTGTTGGTTGAGAGAAACTGAAGGAAATCACTGTTTCTCTGACCCTCCATTGAGTCAAGACACAGCCAGCAGCCTGCCCTGCCCTTCCAGGTGCAGACAGAAGTGAGGTTACCACAAACCTTTCCTCCAAGCTGACCGCTGAGGGGTCCTCCAAGGATAGTCTTTCACTGTGTTTAGGGGTCCCAGGTAGTCTGCCTCCCACCACGGGCCATCACAGCATCTAACGCACCAGCCCTCTGAGGTAGGATGGTAGTGGCCTTGACAGACCACTACTTGGATGATGAGACGGAAGAGAGGGAACTCCTTTCTTAAGCCATTTATCACTCAAAAACAACTTGATTTAAACTAGCTGGCCGTGATTTTCAAACATGTCCTTAAATTCTTAAACACCATTATCATCAAAAGGTGGGATCTGACCCCCCTTCCCTTGGATGTAGACCTGCCTTAGTGACCCACTGAACTGAACATAATTACGTAGAACTGACACTGTGTGACTTTTCAGACTAGGGTAGGGACGGCAACGCATCTTCCCAGAGAGTGAGCCTTCTCTTTCTCTGTCTCTCTCTCTCAGTACGCGTCCTTGGAGCCCTGAGCCAACATACAAGAAATCCAGCAACATATAAGACATCAAGCTGTCCTGCTGGAAAGACTGCGTGGACGTAGAGAAAGATGCTCTAAGGCCCCACCCATTCCGGCCTTCCGCTGCCTGAGACTTCCCAGTCCAGGTGACTGAGGAGCTTTCAGGGGGGTCCTGCCTCTGAGCTGCCGGGGCTGCTGCCAGGTGGAGCAGAGATTAACTTTCCTGCTGAGCCCTGCCCAAGTCGCAGACTCCCAAGCAAGTAAATGTTGTGCTGTTGTTTTAAGCCACTAAGTTTTGAGGTGGTATGTTTGGTAGTAACAGTAGATCCATGGACTCTTTCCTGTTGCTTAGGAACACTGAGGAATTGAGACATAAGTATATAAAGTGCTGACTGCAGACAAAAGGAGTGTGGTAGGGAGAGCCCAGGATCACAACGCACTAAAGGAGAGAAAGGGACTAAAAATCAGTAAATTGCTTCCACAGAGATAATTTGCAATAAATATGTGTGATTACAGAACCTTGGGCGTTTTAACTTGGAAGGGATTGAGGACTCATAAAACGCAACCCATTTGTTTTTAAAGTGTGGCTCAAAGAGTTAACTGACTTGGGCAGGATTCCAGAACCGGACAGGGGCCCAAACCTCCAAACCGCCACTGACTGCTCTCTCTCTTTCTCAAGGCATGTGTCATAAAAGTCGCCAATCTAGCAAAAGACAAGGACGAAATCAAATACGCCAATACAAATGCAGCAGCAGCAGCAACAAAGACACCCCATGGCCGGCCTGGCTGCTGCTGAAAGCCATTGTCCCTTGCTGAGCCTGCCTGCCCGCCATGTCCCTACACCCAGGCCCTTGACGGACAGGAAGCCGCTGGAGGATTTGCAGTCCCAGCTCTTCAGGCAGGGAAGAGAGTAGGTCTCTGCACCCGGTTATCTCAGCCAAGACAGCAACACTTTGGCAAGTGTTCACCCTGTGTCACCAACAGTGCTAAGTACTTTGTGTGCATCGAATTTACAGAGGTGTGATTTACTCGGACTAAAAGCACCGAATTAAAGGCTGAGTTAGCTCGGTGACTTTGACAAACGTATGGCCCTGTGTGGCCAGCGCCACAGTCAAGACAGAGAGCGTTTCGGTCCCCCTCACCTCTGAAAGCTTCATGCTCCCTTGCAGATAGTCCCCTCCCCTCGTACCCAGGGCCCCTGACACTCCTTCTGTCGCTAGAATTTGTTCTAGAATTTCATATAAACAGAATCGCACAGCGTGTAGTCTTCCAGATTCCTCCATGTGGTTGTGTGTACGAGGGCTTGCGGCTTCTCATTGGTAACCAGTGCTCCGCGTGTAGATGCACCGCACTCTGCTTGTGCACCCCGTGGTTGGTAGGTCGGGGCTTGTCTCCAGTCTGGGGCAATTATGAATAAAGTGCGAGGAACATTCTTGTGGAAGTCTCCGTGGGGACATACGCTTTCACTTCTCTTAGGCAAATACCTAAGGGTGGGTTGTATATGTTCACTTTATAAGAAACTGTCAAAATGTTTTGCAAAGCAGTTGTAGCATTGTACATCCTTAACAGACATTTGCGAGAGTTCCAGTTGCTCCGCAGACTTGTTTTCTAGTGGGTGTGTGGTAGTATCGCATTGTGGGATTAGTTTATATTTCGCTGGCAGTTAATGGTGTGAAAATTGTCATATCTCTGTTTGCTACTTACATACCTTTTGGGGAGAGCCTCTTTTCAAAATATGTGAAATTTATTTCTGTATCTGTAGGGCTTTAATTAATGAAGTATTCTTTGATACTGCAGAAATCACGTGCCAAAGTGTGTAACTGAAATTTGGCATACCATAATCATTTATATTCGGCAGTGTTTTGAGACAAAAGAGGTAGTTAAACAACATATGGTCCACACCCTGAGTCCCAGAAATCACAGCACCGTTGTGTATTTTATGTGAACACTGAGATACAAAGAAAAGTCTCAGAAATAGACAAAAGAAATGTTAGGGTGCTTAGAGGTCGTTTTCATCATTAGGATAAAGATACCATGAAAAAGAAAGATAAGCCTAGGAACTATTTTTGGCAGAAAATGTATAGAAATTGTTGAGGAGTGGTAAACAGGGTAAGTGGGGGGAGCCCCATGGTGATACATGTTGAAGCGGTTGATTTAATGGTTTTATTCAGAGACAGGACTCTGTTAGAGCAAAGCGAGGAGTTTAACAAAGCGTCTCCCCTCCCCTCCAAAACAAGTAGACCTGGAAAAACAACCAAAAACCACGGTTTCAGGGTTTGGCAAATCAACCAGAGACAAACAAGAAACTGAGAAATGTTTATTCATGGAAATATGTTAGAACTTTGGATGAGAACAGTGGAAGTGCACAGAGTCTGCAGCCCTCTTGCCTGGAACTGTTCCTCCCCCAGAAGCTTGGTCAGTGAAGTACTCGTACCAGGGCGGGACTGCCCTGTGGAGACCACTGCTAGAGGGGGCTGACTTACTTGGGCTGAGGGCCAAACCCATTCCTGGCAGCGTTATCGGTACCAGAGTAGCATACGTGATAGAAGTAAACGGGGGGTTCCGATAGCTCTGCTAACCTGGGTTTGCAGACCCAGTTATGGCAAGCGACAGACCAGTCAAGAACTTAACAAGGAGATGCTGGAAATGACAGAACCATAGAAAAGCTAGGCAAGGGCTCCATACCTCCCTGGGTGAATGGGAAATGGTGCTCATCTTTTCAGGGCACCCAAGGAGGTCCCGAGGAAAGTGAAGCCTAGGCAGACGTGAAAACAGCCTGAAGTTGAATGCTTCCTTTAACACACACACACAAACACAAGCAGATCTGTCAGCAGAGGGTGGAAGCCTTACAGCTCAAGGTTCTTGAGCGCAACCTCTCAGGAATCAGTGACTTACCAGTAAGCTATGCAGGCGCAGGATGACTGATAGGAAGCTAGGCAGAAAAACAAAATGAGAATTTCAAAACAGCTGAGCGGAGACATTCTGGCTGCACATCTCAGGGAGGGAGATTGTGCAGATTAAGTCCAAATAAGTTACTAATAACAACAAACTATGATTTGTTTGTTTCTATGTAGAAAACAAACTGTGATTACCAAAGGGGAAAGGGCTGGGGGGATAAATTAGGGGTTGTGGATTAACAGACACATGTTACTAAAGAAAAAATAGATAAACAACAAGGACCTATTGTATAGCACAGGGAACTGTATTCAATTTCTTGTAATAACATAATGGAAAAGAATCTGAAAAGAAAAAAATGTATGTGTATGTATAACTGAATCACTGCTGTACACCTAAAACTAACATTATAAATCAACTACAATTTTATAAAAAATTGAAAAACAACAACCACCTCATGGAAAAAATATAATCCAGAAGAGTTACAATATATGGTCTAAAGTGTCAATTTTCAAGAAAACATCACAAGATATTCAAAATAACAGGAAAATGTGATCCATTCTCAGGAAAAAAAAAATCCATAGAAACTTACTCTGAAAGGGCCCAGATGTTATATTTAGCACACAAAGACTTCAAAGCAGGTCTTGGAATGTATTTAAAAAATTAAATAAAAGTATGATGACAATGATCCTCGAATAGGAATTCTCAATAGAGAAACAGAAACAATAAAGAGGAACCAATGGGAATTCCAGAGAGACACAAATCCGATCATATCAACAATCACATTAAATAGTCCATTAAATAGACCAAACACTTCAGTGAAAATGGTGAGATCAGAATAGATACAAAAGAAAGATTCCGCTATGTGCTGACTACAAGCGACACACTTCAAAGTGAAAAATAACAGCAAGACTGAAAGTTTAAGAATGGAAAAGACACATAGAAACAGTAAACAAAAGAGAGCTGGAGTGGCTGTATCTATCAGTGTCGAACAAAATAGACTCAGAAAATGCATATTAGTAGAGACAAACAGGGACATTTCATAATAATAAAAGGGTCAATACATCAGGAAGATATAATGATTTTCAATGTATATTCACCTAACAAGACCCTAAAATACAAAAAGCAAAAATTGAGAGAATTTAAAGGAGACATAGACTATTCAATATGTATAGTTCAAAATTTCAAGACCCTTGATATTGATAGAACAAGCAGACAGAAGATTAAGAAAGATATAGAAGATTTGAAAAAACAGTTGACCAACATGATCTAACTGATATTTATAGAACACTTTACCAGAAGTAAGTACAAAATACATTCTTTCAAGGGCATGTACAACATTCTCCAGAAGACATCATATGATAGGTCTTAAGTTTCCATGATTGTAAAAGGGCTGAAGTGACTCAAAGCATGTTTTCCAACTGCAATAAAATTAAGCTGGAAAGCAACAACAGAAATCTGAGAAATCTCCAAATATCCAAAAATTAAACAACACATTTCTAAATAACCCAGATCAAAGAAGAAATCACAAGGAATTAGAAACTATTTTGAGCTAAATGAAGATAACGTATAAAACTTTATGGGATGCAGCTAAAGAAGTGCTTAAAGGGTACGTTCCAGCTTTAAACATGTGTATTAAATGTAGTCCCAGTTTAGAAAAGCCATTGTTATAAATTAGAAAAACTCTTGTTGTATAAGCAGATCCTAGAGTTTGTTGGTTCAGTGCTGGTACGTCTTTGCCAAAGGTTTTTAAAGACTTTAAATACATATAAATGTATATATATATATATGCATGTGTGTAAGTGCATATAATATATTGTAAGGTGCTTTATCAAGGAAAGCTCTTGTAGATAACCACTGGTGTGTTTTGAATTTCTATCTACTCGTGAGGCACTGGGCTAAGCATTTTATACACATGATTTCATTTAATATCTATAACAATCCTATGACATATTATTAAGGAAAATAAGGCTTAGAACGTTTATAACTTGACTCCATTAACATGTTAGATACACGGCAGAACTGGATTCAAATCCAGGTCTCTTGGACGGCAAAGCCAGTGCTCTTAAATTTTGCTCTAATCACCTCCCTTTTCAGATTTCAAGGCTTTTATTCTAGGGCCTAGATTTCACACATTCTTCAGCCATGAAGATTAAGATGAGAAATTCCTGTGTCTCATCCTTGCAGACCTCTGATATAAGTGTGCAAATTCCTGTGGACCAAAAATATTGCCAGCCATATCAGTAAACAAAGGATGCTGTGGCCATTCAAATCATCAGCCATCACCGCCACCCCTTACGGTGAGCAGAAGGAACTCGGGATGCAGACAAGCAGGCAGCCTGGCCTCTTCCGCGACCCCCAGTGGTGCCCCCTGAGGGAACTCAGGATGGGAAAGCACAGGACACTGGCCCTAGATTGCTAGGTGTGTGTTAAAGGAATAATTTCCACCTTTTCACCTTCCCTTACATGGAAAAGCGCTAAATTCCTTAACTTGAGATGTCTGCTTTTCTTTAATTAGCTGTAATCTTTCGATGTTCCGACTACCTGGTTTTTGTTGCAAAAGCCCATACATCCTGGCTTCTACCTTGCCACCGTGCCACAGTCCATCAGCGCAATCTGAGAGGCTGGCATCCCAGGCTTAAGTCCTCAGAGATGTCCGCCGAATAAAACACAGCTTTCCGCTTTTAGGTTGTGCCCTTTATTTCTGATGACATCCAGTGGGTTCTTGCCTTGCCAGTTCCATTCCTCAATGTGCACAGCTTTGGTTTACTTTGGGTACTGTAAGGTGGACCATCTGCCCGCCCTCCAGAGCGTGTCATGTATCTTTTGCTTTCCTCCTATTCAGATGCCCTTTTTAGGTCTTGAAGTCAGCACACCTGATTTTGATGTGAACTCCTAGCAGTCGGGCCCTGTCTGAAATAAAGGCTCACATTTTTGTCTGGAAAACAGTGGACGTATTCTGACTTGATTAGGAAGACTGAGTGCGAATAGATAACAGGTGATACTGATCCGGCACAAAAATATGTGCAAACTGGAAACATCCTAACAATGTTAGTTGGGACAATACATTGAAATGAAGGCCTCTTTCAGATTTATGGGGTGCCCGGAAGTCACTAACTTGTGGTCGTGATAACTTCCAGTGGCTAGGGCTTTTGTGTGTTTGTTTTTGGGGGGTGATTAGGTTTGTTTATTTACTTATTTAATGGAGGTGCTGAGGCCTGAACCCCGGACCTGTGCACGGGGGATGTGTGCTCTGCCACTCAGCCATGTCCTCCTCCTCACTGTTTTTTTTTTAAAGATAAAAACCACCATTTGGTAAGACTGACTATGTATCAAGTGACTAAAACCATGAACCACGGATTTGATTTTTTTTAATCAAATAAAAGAGACACTGCAGCAAAACTAGTTTCCTATTTTTTCCCTTAGACTACCCTTCCGTGGCTATAAACATGGAATCTGGGAGAGTTCTGGATAGCTCCTCTCCAGTTTCCGTATCTTGCGTATGAAATAGACGCCCAAAGAAGAGGGGAGGCCCTCAAAGGCACTTGAATCTCTGGCACCAGCAACGGAGCTGGACCCTGGAGGGGCCTTAAGACGTGTGTAAGGGGGACCAGCCCAGGGACGCCCAGCTCAGACCCGGAAAGAAAACCCACTTCCCAGATTGCTCCGGCTGGCCCTTCTGTCCATCCTGTGGGCTTTGACCTTAACAGATGCACGCATCTGTCACAGACACAGATTCTTTTGGGGCCCCAAAAAGACCTTTGGTCAGTGTTCCTGAGGAAACAACACTCCGACTTATTGGGGTCTCTCCATTTAGGGTGTGTCTGGGCTTTTGCACTGCCGAAGGCAAAGCGCTGGTGAAGCTGCACCCAATGCCAGGTTCCTTCCTGAGGCTCATGGGGCCCCGTCTCCTCTGTCTCCACCTCCAGGGCCAGATGGCCTGAAACAAAGACCTCTGAATAGCTCTTCTCTCCGGTCACCCGGGCCCCTGGATTTCCCTTTTAATTTCTTTTTAAAATACCCACTTCCCTAAGGGTGCCTGTTCCTGAAACAGACACCTAGTGAGGCGGTGGAGCAGGTGTCACATCCCCAGGTGCTATCTCATTCTTTTGATCGCTCCCTATTGTTTTTTCTCCCACTCTCCCAGCTTGCGGTCCTGGCTGCACCTGGGGTGGACTGGTTTGCATTCACCTGGCTTATCTCCATCCGGGTCTATTCATCCCCCCTACTTCCTCACCACTGGGCTTCTTTCTCCGCATCCCCTGATCATCTTTCTTTGACACAATTGACCTTGAAAGGCCTCTCGGGGTTTCTAGGGCTGAGCCAAAATGCCCGGGGAGACGTGTGGCCGTGGGAGATCCCGGGGCAGTGTGGGGAAGGGAGCGGGGGCACAGGAGGAAGCTGGCTCTTCCAGCCCGGCTTATGAGCCTGGGCAGTGGACCAGCTCCCTCTGACCAACGTGCGGGAGACCATCAGCAAACATGCTGCCCTTCCCGTTCCCACTTAAATGTCTCCCCTTGGGGAGAAGATTACTTGCAGAGAGAGCACAAAGTAGGTGGGCTTTAGGAAACAGTTGAATTGTGAAGAATATTAATTGAAGAGGGTGTGAAAAATCAGGACCGCTAATATGAATGAGGCAGCTTACCGTGGGGGCCGGGTGGAGGGACCAGCCCAGCCTCCACGCAGGGGGGTCGGGGTGGCAACCGAGGGGGCAACAAGATTGAGGGCTGGCGCTCAGAGGCAGAGGGTGTAAGGTTTGAGTCCTGGACTCAGAACCAGGTCCATGAATAGCAATCATGGGGTAGGGTACCTCTGTCACCTGGCGCCCGGTGTGTATGACAGGGATGGGGCACTTGGCTAAAGGAGCTGAGTGGACTTCCCTCTCCCTCATCACCCACCTGAGTCCATCCTGTCCAGGTACTAGGAGAAAGGCAGGTACCCGTGGTCCGAGGAGCTGGGTCCGGGTAAGGTGCATGGCTTTGGCTTTTGTGGGCAAGCTCTCCCCAGTTCAGCCTCAGACAGACTGACCTGAGGCACTGGAGGAAGCCGGGAGACTAAAGGTGGGAGGCCCGCGTATTGCTGTAGCCACTTCACTTCAAGGACTTTGTCTCATCCTCTGTGCGCGATCAGTCCCGTCTTTTCACAGTCCTGTCTTCTACGAAACTTTCAGCCTTTAGAGCAGCACTATCATCAGAATCAATGGGCACAGAATGTTTATTTCAGCCAAGCCTGCACTGAGCGCTTACTGTATGCACGCCGCGCAGAGTAAGCCCCCTCGGGGTGGGGAGGCGCCTGGGGGAGACTTGGGATTCCGCTCTGCCGTTAGAGGGGTCTGAGCCCCTGGGTCCCGCCTCCCCACCAGGCACGCGACAGACCTTGGCTGAGCGGGGTGTCAGCTGAGGGCCCCGCGCTTCCTGCCGGAGCACCGTGATTGGGCAGCCTCCAGAGGAGTCCGGGTGGAGAAGCTGGGTAAAGAGTGCTGCAGCGTGTATCCCCGGCACCTGGAGGCGCCCGGGGGTGCTGGCACCCTGGCCAGCTTTGCAGCTGGTCCTCCAGCCCGTCCACCCCAGCCCGGCCACAGCGCACCCTCGGCCCGGGCCTGGGACACCCTGGCTTTGAGGAAACGCACCTCTCTGAGCAGCTCTGACGGCTTTCTATTTTTATGCCTCTCCAGGTCCTTCTTCTCCAGGGCAACCACACACACAGCGCTGCTCTGCAGTTTATTTTCGTGCTGCAGAGAAGCGCCTTCCCTCCGCTTCCCAGCTTGGCATCGGCGGCCTGGCCGTGTTGGTCTTGGATGGTCCCCGCGGCCTCAGTCTCAGAGCTGGCATGGCCTTGTTATGCCAGCTGGGGAAGGACAACACACCTAGGGGGGTGCTAGGCCGGGCCTGGGGGTGGCTGGGCAGGGGTCCTAATGCCTGGAGGGCGACACGGGCTGCCAGCATGACTTCATCCCTTCATCTCCCTGGGCTGTCCGGGCTCCGCGGAGGCGCTGGGGTGTTTGTGCAGCGGCCCGGGCCCTGGGGGAGTGACGCCCGTCTTACCTGGGGTCGCCCTCCCTGGCCTCCAGGTGGAGTCTGTACTCCAGGTTAGGCCTTGCCCCGGTGTCTGGCTTACAGAATATTCACGCTGCTGTCTCTTCTTCTCACTTAATGTTTGGACCAGGTATTGTTTCAAACAAGAAAACTGAAAAACAGATGGGTTGTGGTTTCCCGGCTTCGCGTCTCCAACGACATGATAGAAACCAGGAGTCAACCCGTTGGATGCTCTGGGACCTGACTCTGCACTTCTTATGTTGGCAAAGTCCGCGCTGAAGCTGCCAGCCGGGGGCGGCGGGGGCGGAACTGAGGCTCCCCGCCAGAAGCGTGCCTCCCTTCCTCCCAACGCCACTGTCACTTCAGCCAGAGGACCCGGGACGGGGGCTGATTAAGCCTCACGTGCTGGCTCCTGCCTGGAAGATGCTGACCCACTGTCTGGAAGAGGCCCCTGGCATTGTTTTTCCGGGGGTGATGATAGGAGGTGCTCAGTCACCAGTGGTCTCTGCCCTCATCACCCCAGGAGCCCAGGTCCTCTTTGGAATTGGGGGTTCAGCAGTGTGTGACTCAGGACCCCACCTCTCTCCGTGCAGAGTGACCGTTTGAAGGGTCGCGTCTGCATCCCACACCTCATCGTCCCCTTGGAAGGAAGGAACAAATTGTTCCCAGCGGGCCGCTCAGCTAAATGTGACGTCAAGGAACAGGCGACATGGGTCGGACCTTGGAGACCAAGCTCTGCTCTCTCTCATCACCTAAACGAGGGATCTGAGTAGAATGTAAGTCTCGTGGACACAAGAAAAGGTATTTGGAGAAAACATAGTGAATACTGGCTGTGGACACGCTCACAATAAGAAAACCTTTTCAGAGTGGCCCAGGATTGCCAGGGGCCAGGTCGTCTGGGGCCAGTGTGAGGCCCCCTCTCCTGTGGGTGCGTGGAGTCTGCAGGCAAGATGTTCTGGGATGTGGGCCCCAACGTGTGCCCCATGGAGCACTTGTCCTTGGAAGTCATTTCTATTGGGGAAGGGTTCCCTGATCAAATGAGATTCAAAGCTGCTACGTTCTCCGCTTGGAGAGTCACAATATACATTACTGACTCAAAAACATACACTTGAGAAAACTTTTAACTCAATTTAACCCTGTGTTTCCCAACTTTGAAGACAGAATGCTAATTTTGCAAAACGTCTGTGGAGCACATTTTGGGGACAGCTGCTTTCCTGGAAGACGGCTCACGATGCCTGCAGTTGGCAGGATCTCCTGGTCGAGCTGGGAAGTTAATATTCCTCAGGGATCATGACCTCGCTTCATCTGAATGGATGAGTGGTCCGGGCCGGCTCAGGACTGAGTTGGCAGCTCTCTCCTGCGTACTAGAAATTTGATGTTGCCTCCTCAAGAGGGATAGGGAGGGGAGAACCCTTGCCTTTAAAAATTAACTTTCTCACAGTGACAGTGAAAGCTTTAGGGCTCCGGAAGTCATTCTCTCATGCTCTAAGACTAAAAGGTTAGTCCCGCTCACCTGTTTTCCATCAGGGTCTGCTACTCTGGAACGGCCACTTAGGCAGCCTGGGCGGGGACTTGATTTTAAACATCTGAGAGTCGGAGACCTCGTCCTCCATCGGTCCCTTCGGAACACGGGCTCATGCCTGGACCGGCACCGATTCTAGGTTTACTGAGTGGAACCCGTACGGCTTAGCTTTGTATGTGGTCTGGGAACAGAGCGAGTGTATAGTCCTTAGTCTGGGCCATTCCTGACTTATTTTCCATGTCTTGGGTTTTCAATGGACAAGAATTTATGACCTGAGGTTTGGAAACGCTTAGTCAGAGCCCAGACCTTCCACGGAGTTCCTTCAGGAGCTTCAGCTCTGGACTCAATGACAAAGATTTCCTGTCCAGCTCTCCACATATTTTCTGGTGGACATGGTTCCTGTCAGCACACGTCTCTGTGTTCTTGTCTCACCTGCTGTTTTGCTGATAACCCGTCACGTGACCGCTTTTGACTGTGTTTTCCCTCCTGGCCACATTTTGTTGTGTTATATTCACCCGCAGCCCCACCTGGACCTCCAAACCAGCTTCAAGTCCCTGATGGAGCATTCTGTCTGTCCCCTTATAGTTGCCCTTCGTCTCCATGAAGAAGTCCTGAAAGCCTGTTCCAAGCAGTGAGACCAAGGCTAACCATCTCCTCCCGCCCCTCAGCCACCGACCGACTTCACGTCTCCTGCAGATTTGCCTCCAAAGGGGAGCCAGGTGAAAGAGGAACAGGCCAGACCACGTCGAGTTCTGGGGAGGTTTCAGTTTCCCAGTCTTGATGAATTTACTGAGTAAGAAAACGTCCCGTCTGGGCCCAGCTCGGCTGACCCTTCTGTGACACCTCGGGGCTTGACAGCAAACCAATGAGTCCTGAGGTCAAAGGAGTTCTGGCTTCAAAGGAAAAATGCGGGGTGTAGGTGCCTTCCCTGGCTGGGGTTCCCTCTCTTGTTACTTTTGATTGATTCTTATACACGGATGAAGGCAGAAAGTGCCGACCAGTCACCCGTCATGCCCGCCGCCAGCACACGCTTGTAATTACCATGTGGCCGCTCGCTGCCTGTGTGGAGCACATGTGCTTGACCTGACTTGGCAGCGCCTTCCTTCTGGCTTCTTCCTTGAGGGCAGGTCTTGCAGAATTTTGTCTACATAATGTCAATTATTCGGCTGATCATTTCCCTGGAGATTTCCAGCTGATGCACATGGCAACAGAACCAGTTCAAAGGTGCAGGGATGCGCCTGGGTGTAAGAAATGTCCCCACTTTCGTTTCTTGGATGAATGAAGTTTGCACAAAGTGATGCTCTTCCGGCGTGCAGAAATGTCTCTGCGCATCACTTCCCGGGGACCCAGCTGGGGTGGGCTGAGGTGGCGCTTAAAAGGCATCACCCAAAAGGAGAACTCTGCAGAAACCACAAAGTAATTTGCAAGGTACATATTAAAACAGTTGCTTCAGACGCACCCTCAGCCCTCGCACATGTTTACACGGTTGGGGAGTTTTGCTTCGTCCATGATGAACTCTACGTGTCTCTGTTTGACTTTCTTTTTCCCTGGACCTGTCCTCTCTCCTCCATTCGCCCTGCTTTCTTCTGCAGATCACCCATGTGTGCTGACTATCTAGATAGCCCCGAGGAAACAGACACAGAAACCCGCCCGGAAAGAGTGTGGTACGTGGTGGAGCAAGGGGGAAGCGATCCAGGGGGTTTCTCCGTCTCTGAAAGCCCGAGATGGATGCATGGCTAGAAAATGCCTCATTTAGAGACAGACAGGGAATGTCACCGGGAGGTTCACACTTTCTCATTAAAATCTTGTTCCCCTTCCCAGGACCCCCCGCTCTGACACTGCCGTGGGCAAGGAGAGTGTGGGCCAGGTTTTAAAATAATTATGTAATTGGCCACCTGGCTTTCATAACAATATCTGGCCCTGGACTTTGGGTAAGACCTTAGGCAGCTTTTTAAACCTGGGAGGTACTTACTCGGAAGGCAATTAAAGTAGGTGTTAGCTGGAGCCACCTGGAAAGGCGTTCTGCCTCACTGATGGGTGGCCGTCAGGAGGATGGTTTGCAATCCTGCTTCACTGGATCTGAGAGCCCATCTTGGGGCCTGAGGCTGAAGAAGAGGGCCTGGTTCTGCACAATACCTGGCTATCATACAGTATTAGAGTAACGATGGCTCTCTAAAGGTTTTAATGCTTATTAAGTGCCAGCCATATAGTCAGATGTCATGATATACAAAGTAAACCTCCCGTGGGAGGTAATGTTACTGTCGTCCTCACTGAGCTGTGAGGACACTGAGGCTTCCAGAGCTGCAGTAGCCTGTCCAAGGTCATCCTGCTTCAAAGCTGCGCAGCTGCCACTCGACCCCTGGCCGAGTGTGACGCAGAGCCCAGGCACGTCCGCCCCCTGCTACACTGCCTCCTGGACCGCAGCTGAAGGCGGCCATCCGAGCGTCGTTGCTCTGCACTGGGGTGGGGAAAGCCTCAGCATCAGGCCCCCCGGCGTTGGGCTTGGGCCCCAGATCCAGGTGCTAACGGGGAGCCTGCGTGAATGACCGTGGCTGACGACGGCTGTGATTCCTACGGCGTCCACACGGGTCTCTGAGAGCAATGCCTGCCTCATAGGGCCTTGTGATTGAGAAAATGTTTACAAAGTGCCTGACAAAGGCTAAGTGCCAATAAAATCATGGTTATTACGTTTTATTTTTTTCCACTTATGAAAGTAAGTGCTGGGGATTTTCAAGCTGTTTCACGTTGACAGTTTCAACCATTTTTCTTCCCTTTAATTCTTCATCAAATCATTTCTGTTCAAGATGGAAATCTGTCTTTTGCATTACTTAGGGCTCCGTTTACTGAGTTCTTTTTTCCCAGGAAAGTCGTGTTCTTTACACATGAGCACAGTCATTTCTACAAGGGCAGTTCCCTTCTGAGTACTTTTGGGGGTAAAAATGGTGAGTATTCATGGGTAATAATAATGATTATGATTACAATAATGATTTCCAGTTATTTGGTATTTAGTGCTAATACTTGAAGCCCTTTGGCAAGCATTTTCAATTAAGTGTAAAATAATCCTGTGAGACAAGTGTTATTTTACACATTTTGCAGATTAGCAATGTCAATGTCTGGTTTTGCCTGGTCACGGCTTCTGCTATGCACCCAAATCTGCGGGCAGCGTGACACCTCTTCTGTGACAAACAGTCCGCTTGCTGGCAGCCGTTCTCACACGGTGTCTGCCAACGCGGGGGGCTTCCCAGCATCTCAGTATCCCCATCCTCAGTGTTCTTCTCCTCCCCGTGTTCCCCACAAACAGTTCCTGGCACATCCCCCCTCCCCTTCCTGTCCACGGAGACTGCTCATCCACGAGCTCACACTCACAAGCCTGTCCTCAAACAGGAGGCACTGAAAGTCACAGGACACCGTCCACATGTCTTTAGAGGGTCAGTTTTACTCCAAGTCGGGGGATTTTAACCAGTTAAGTCATTGTAACCAGTCGTATACATTTTAACGCAGGTTTGCAGCAAAACCTTCTATAGCGTAGAATGCAACATTTACATACATTCGAAAATAATGCAGTCTCGGAGTCTCAGAGGAGAATGTATCCCCAGACGCCAGCCATACACGTGTGCTCACGTGCTTCCAGCAGGCCCCTTGGTGGGAAAGGCTGAGAAGTTTCTGACCGTGGCACTTAGGAGCACGTGTCTGCGGTAGCCGCTGGGGCTCATGGTGAACAGTGAGGAGCGTCTCTGAGCCCCGCCTGGTGGGAGCTGGGGGCGTAACAGAAGGCATGTGTGCGTCGAAAGCCCAAACCGAGCCTGTTCTAGGGGCATCTGAATAAGTTTTCCCTGGTGGCCAGACCCACATCCCACTGGCTGGGTGGCTCACACAACAGGAATTTGTTTCGCGTGGTTCTGCGGGCTGGAAGGCTAAGGTCTGGATGTCGGCAGTTGGTTTCTCTAGAAGCCTCCCTCCTTGGTGCGCAGAGGGCCACCTTCCCTCTGTGTGGGCATCCGTGTCTCCCTGTGTGTCCAGATTTCCTCTTTTTATAAGGACCACCAGTCAGATTGGATCAGGGCCCACCTTAACAACCTCATTTTACCTTAGTCATCTTTTTTAAAGGCGCTATTTCCAAATAGTCACATTCTGAGGTGCTGGGGGTTAGGACCTCATATATGAAGTATGGGGGGAGGGTGTGGTACAGTTCAGCTCAGAACAGCATTTGAGCTTCACAAATGAAGTGACACTTAACTGGGCTCTGAAGAAATAACAGGAGCTCACTGGTTACACAAGTGGATGAGGGTGACATTGGGGAATGGGGCAGGGAAGGAGCCGTTTCATGTTCCCAGAGCCCGAGATGAGGGTGAGGTGAGAATGGCAGGCAGGAGAGGTGGAGCTGAGACAGGGACCACACAGGCAGGGTGCCGGGCGGCGTGTGGGGAATGAGAGTTTCTGGAAAGAGAGGCATGGGTGACCTCGAAGGAGACAGTGACGGGTCAGATCTGCACTCAGACGCATGGTCCTGAGACACGGTGGGGCAGGCAGTGCGGAGAGCAAGGCTGGAGTGAGGGAGAGAGCTGCAGGAGGACTGACCTGAGCGAGAGGAGGGATCAGGTTCCACAGACTTAACCAGAAGTTTCTTCTTCAGATCTGACTCAGTTCCCTTCCCTGCTGGTTGATGCCTGGTTCCTTTACTCCTGATGAATGTATTCCTCACTGATATCTTGCAAAGTCAGGGTGTGTCAGGCAATGATCTACGCCCTTTAGCGATGTGAACTCATTTACTCCTCTCAATGATTATTACCCCACTTTACAGAAAGGAAAATTGAGGCACGTGGAGATCACATGGCCTCCCCAAGGTCAGAGACGTACTGAGGGGAGAGCCAGTGTTCGAGGTCAGGTAGTTTGGCTCTGAAGTCCGTGCTCTTTTTTAAAAAATTGAAGCATGGTCAATTTACAAGGTGTTAATTTCTGGTATACAGCATAGTGATTCAGTTATACACATATATATTCTTTTTCATATTTCATATCATTATAGGTTATTTCAAGGTATGAATATAGCTCCCTGTGCTCTACAGTGGGACCTTGCTGTTTATCTGTTTTATATACAGTAGTTCGTATTTGCAAAACCCAAACTCCTATTTATCCCTCCCCTACTTTCCCCTTTGGTAACCATAAGTTTGTTCTTGATGTCTGTGAGTCTGTTTCTGTTTTGTAAATAAGTTCATTTGTGTCATTTTTTAAATCCCACATATAAGTGATATCATATGATATTTGCCTTTCCTTGTCTGACTTACTTCACTTAGTATGATAATCTCTAGGTCCATCTCTAGGTCCAGTCTAGGTCCATGTTGCTGAAAAGGGCATTATTTTATTCTTTTTTATGGTTGAATAATATTCCATTGTATATGTACCACATCTTCTTAATCCAGTCATCTGTCAGTGGACATTTCGGTTGCTTCTGTGTCTTCGCTATTACAAATGGTGCTGCCATGAACATTGGGGTGCATGTGTCTTTTCGAATTAGAGTTTTCTCCAGATATATGCCCAGGAGTGGGATTGCTGGATCGTAGGGTAGCTCTATTTTTAATTTTTTGAGGAATCTGTATAGTGTTTTCCTTAGTGGGTGCCCCAAATTACATTCCCACCAGCAGCGTAGGAAGGTTCCCTTTTCTCCCACACCCTCTCCAGCCTTTATCGTTCGTGGACTTTTTAATGATGGCCACTCTGATTGGTGTGAGGTGATACCTCACAGTGGTTTTGATTTGCATTTCTCTGGTGATTAGCGATGTTGAGCCTATTTTCATGTGCTTATTGACCATCTGTTTGTCTTCTTTGGAGACATGTCTGTTTAGGTCTTCTGCCCATTTTTGGATTGTTTGTTTTTTTGTTATTGAGATGTATAAGCTGTTTGTATATTTTGGAGATTAAGCTTTGTCAGTCGCATCATTTGCAAATATTTTCTCCCATTCCGTAGGTTGTCTTTTCATTTTGTTTATGATTTCCTTTGCTGTGCAAAAGCTTGTAAGTTTGATTAGGTCCCATTTGTTTATTTCTGCCTTTTTTTGTATTGCCTTGGGAGACTGACCTAGGAAAACACTGCTGCAATTTATGGTTAGAGAATGTTTTGCCTGTGTTCTCTTCTAGGAGATTTATGGTGTCCAGTCTTATGTTTAAGACTTTAAATCACTTTGAGTTTATTTTTGTATATGATGTGAGGGAATGTTCTAACTTCACTGATTTACATGCGGCTGTCCAGCTTTGCCAACACCAGTTGCCGAAGAGACTGTCTTTTCTCCATTGTATATTCTTGCCTCCTTTGTTGCAGATTAATTGACTGTAGGTGTGTGGATGTATTTCTGAGCTCTCTATTCTGTCCCATTGAGCCATATGTCTGTTTTGGGGCCAGTACCATGCTGTTTTGATTACTGCAGCTCTGTAGTATTGTCTGACCTCTGCAAGGGGTATGCCTCCAGCCTTGTTCTTTTTCCTCAGTGTTGCTGTGGCAATTCTGGGTCCTACGTGGCTCCATAGAAATTTTAGGATTAGTTGTTCTATTTCTGTGAAAACCTTCCTGTGTAATTTGATAGGAATTGCATTAAATCTGTAGATTGCTTTGGGTAGTATGGCCATTTTAACTTTGCTAATTCTTGCAATCCCAGAGCAAGAAGCGCAGGCC